AGCCGTGCCAAGATGAACCCCAGCGCCCCCAGCTATCCCATAGCCTCGCTCTACGTGGGCGACCTACACCCCGACGTGACAGAGGCGATGCTCTACGAGAAGTTCAGCCCGGCCGGGCCCATCCTCTCCATCCGGATCTGCAGGGACATGATCACCCGCCGCTTCTTGGGCTACGTGTATATGAACTTCCAGCAGTCCGCGGACGCGGAGCGTGCTTTGGACACCATGAATTTTGATGTTATAAAGGGCAAGCCAGTACGCATAATGTGGTCTCAGCGTGATCCACCGCTTCGTAAAAGTGGAGTGGGCAACATATTCATTAAAAATTTGGACAAATCCATTGATAATAAAGCACTGTATGATACATTTTCAGCATTTGGCAATATCCTCTCATGTAAGGTGGTTTGTGATGAAAATGGTTCCAAGGGCTATGGATTTGTGCATTTTGAGACGCAGGAAGCAGCTGAAAGAGCTATTGAAAAAATGAATGGGATGCTTCTAAATGATCACAAAGTATTTGTTGGACGTTTTAAGTCTCACAAAGAACGAGAAGCAGAACTCGGAGCTAGGGCTAAAGAGTTTACCAATGTTTACATCAAGAATTTTGGAGAGGACATGGATGATGAGCGCCTTAAGGATCTCTTTGGCAAGTTTGGACCTGCCTTAAGTGTGAAAGTAATGACTGATGAAAGTGGGAAGTCCAAAGGTTTTGGATTTGTGAGCTTCGAGAGGCATGAAGATACACAGAAAGCTGTTGATGAGATGTATGGAAAGGAGCTCAATGGAAAACAAATTTATGTTGGTCGAGCTCAGAAAAAAGTGGAACGACAGACGGAACTTAAGCGCAAATTTGAGCAGATGAAGCAAGATAGGATCACCAGATACCAGGGTGTTAACTTATATGTGAAAAATCTTGATGATGGCATTGATGACGAACGTCTCCGCAAAGAGTTTTCTCCATTTGGAACAATCACTAGCGCAAAGGTTATGATGAAGGGTGGTCGCAGCAAAGGATTTGGTTTTGTATGTTTCTCCTCCCCTGAAGAAGCCATTAAAGCAGTTACAGAAATGAATGGTAGAATTGTGGCCACGAAACCATTATATGTAGCTTTAGCTCAGCGCAAAGAAGAGCGCCAGGCTCACCTCACTAACCAGTACATCCAGAGAATGGCGAGTGTCCGAGCTGTGCCCAACCCCGTGATCAACCCCTACCAGCCAGCACCTCCTTCAGGTTACTTCATGGCAGCTATTCCACAGACTCAGAACCGTGCTGCGTACTACCCTCCTAGCCAAATTGCTCAATTAAGACCAAGTCCTCGCTGTACTGCTCAGGGTGCCAGACCTCATCCATTCCAAAATATGCCCAGTGCTATCCGCCCAGCTGCTCCTAGACCACCATTTAGTACCATGAGACCAGCTTCTTCACAAGTTCCACGAGTCATGTCAACACAGCGTGTTGCTAACACATCAACACAGACCATGGGTCCCCGTCCTGCAGCTGCTGCTGCAGCAGCTACTCCTGCTGTCCGCACTGTGCCGCAGTATAAATACGCTGCGGGAGTTCGCAATCCTCAGCAACACCTAAATGCACAACCACAAGTCACCATGCAGCAGCCTGCTGTTCATGTACAAGGTCAAGAGCCTTTGACTGCTTCCATGTTGGCATCTGCCCCTCCTCAAGAGCAAAAGCAGATGTTGGGTGAAAGGCTGTTTCCTCTTATTCAAGCCATGCACCCTACATTGGCTGGTAAAATCACTGGCATGTTACTGGA